GAGACTTAAACATATTAGTTTTGAGTATTTAATAGAGCATTTGTTTATAAAAGTAGGTTTTTAACTTATCGCTACAAAATAGAAATAGCTTTGACTAGTAGTTAACATACTAACCGGAATAAGTTCAACTCTAAGGGGCACACCTAGTGTATCAGCATAAAAAACGCGATTTTTGTGAATTTAATAAAAAGACTACTGTCTCATAATTATAAGGGAATAATTAAAAATTTTTTTAAGAATACACAGTAAATTTATGATTTTGAAGAAAAAAATTAAATATTTTTCGTGTTACACACGATCTCCAATATCGCTAAAAAGTAGGGTCGTCACAGCTATTCTGAACTTCTCCGTAGGTGAAACCAAACCAAAATATTATACTCTCTACTAGAAGATATTGTTCGTAAAATGCTCTAAAGCCGAAAAAAAATAAAAATTTATCAATAGATGAATTTTACACAAAACGCTGGTTGTTTTTGGCCTGCCGAAATCAGATAAAAAACTGGCTAATTATTGTATGGAGAACTATGTATATGCAGAATATGCCGAAAAAATTTGATAGTGATCGAATCATTTGTCTCCGAGTAATCACTCAAGAAAATCGGAAAATATAGTTTTGAAAAAAACCCGTTTAAAACAAGCTGATAAAGCCGATTGAGCTGAGAAGGCTGTAACTCAAAAACTATTTGAGATATTGATATTGCTTTCAAAGCAAAAAATACGCATTGAAAAATATTTATATGCCAAATAAAATATTTAATATACCAAAAGTTATTAGTATCGTCTTTTATACTTCTTAGCCCTTTTTAAGTTTATACTTGCATACTAGCTCAAATATAAATACGAGTGTAGGATATGTGTGATGTTCATGCAAGAAATTACATTTGGTGGTGTAATTACGCTGCTGTTGCTTTGAGACAACACTGCAGCAGAGTACGTAAAATATATTTACGTTCTTTGTCAACTCTTATACGAGACGGAGAATAATCAGAGATTTTATAAAAATTGGTTTGCTCTCTGGCAGCTTGTTCGATGTTGTCACATATACGCAACCGCAACAAGCAACTAAATTTGTTGCAATCAAGCAGACAACATGTTGTAAGCAATTATAGTTGCCTTCAATCTCACACCAGAGAACATAAAATGGTTCTCAAGTTCTCTCAGAGCAAGAAAAACTGCGCCGGCTGAGTCATTCATTTGGTCTCCGGTGTTGGCCAAAGAAGTGAAGAAGTCAGTGTATATTCCTAATTGTGAATGTTGTCCGGCGGCGACTCAGCTGCGAGCACAAATATGTAGGTATATGTTGTTGTTGTTATTGTTGAATTGGCTAAATCTTCATTGTTATGCAGCCGATGTAGCAGACTTTAGTTATTGTTGTCGTTTTATTGTGGTGTTGTTCTTTGATTGCCATACACTACCGCACACACACGCACAAACTATGCACACATATTTAGATACCTGCAATGTCTTTTACTTCCTCTTGGCCTTTCCGTTTTGCGGCAACGCGACTGTTATTTCACATATGTATGTGTGCATCCCCTTGCCGCTGCACTCGCTCCACACATTGGTGTGGCGTGGCGCGGCATGCCTATGGTGGCGCAGTGCACCGCTCGCTCGCCTGTTTGGTATTCCTTTTGTGCGCGTGCAGTAAAAATGCGATTCGAATACTTTGGCTTTGGCGATGTTTGCCGTTTGCAGCTGCTGCTCCTCCATCCGCTCGCTCGAGCAACTAAAAACAACCGACCGACGGCTGAGCGACTGAACGACGCAGCGACGTTTCGAATTCGGATCCCCCAACCCTCCATGCAGCATGTGCACCGCTTCCACGTGTGTGTGTGGCTGCGTGAAACAAAGTGCTTACACATACACTAAACCATCATTTCATTGTAGTGGCTCTTCGTGTTCGCCTGCTGTTATTGTTGGACTTTCTTGTTTTTGTTTTTGTTATTGCTTTTGCTTTTTTGTATTCTTGTGTTCGGTTGCCTTCATATTCATGCACGTCTTCATCGCCTCCTTTTGGGATTTCGTTTATTTACTGCTTGTTGTAATTCGATTATTGTTGGTGGTTTTTTGTTATTGGCCGTGCCGGATACTTCCGCTAAACTACTTGTGCGCTAAATACGAGAGTCAAAAGAGAATTAAGCAAAATCAACAACAACAACAATAGCGATAGCAGCAGGAGTATTTGCAAAAAAGGCTGTTGTTGCCTTATACACTAATAATATTGCCAACAACGTCATGAATACAATTAGTAACAACAGCAAAAACAGCTATGAGCTCTAATATACGACTCTGCAAGTGTGGATGTGTGCGTGTTTAAAAAACTAAAAATATTTTGCAAGGAAGCAAAACTCGAAAGCTGAAATTCGAGTAGGAAGGAAGCAAACAAGTAGAGGTGCATGCTAAAATCAAGCAGAAGAAGAAGACACACAACGCAAAAAGCTAGCGGTAAAGGAGTAGCAAAAGCAACAAAAGTTGCTGCCCCAAGCCATACACGTAGGTGCGTCTGTATATGTAGGGATATGTTGCATTGGCGCAGCACACGCTGGATGTGAGGGGGGTCTCCACTGGTTTCGAAATTAAGGATCATACCTAGCATGCAATTTTGCAGATTTCGATATATTATATCGATATTGCATATGTAGTCGCTAAGTTCAATAATCTTTATTAGTCTTTATATTTTTGATCTTTTTCTCAAATTTTCTTAATATTTACAAAAATTTCATGGCTTCTAAAATTTGTGTACACGATAGAGTTGCAAGAACCTCGTGAGAAGGGCTTTGATTTTAACGATGTAATCACATACCAGGGTGCATCGTCAATTATTTACTATTTCCTGCTTAGACTAAAGTGGTATCGAAGCGAGCCTATTGTTGTTGATCATAATTTTCGAAAAACAAGCAATAATTTATAAAAGAAGTTCATTTGAGTATGTAGTTAAAAGAATATGTAGTTAAACGAGTATGTAGCTTGAGTGTCTCAACCCCTCCATATATGCGCCCATGTTTGTGCACCTGCTTAGATATATGGTACACAACGGTCGCTTCACTAAACCAGTCGCTCGTTTATGAGCGCACTGCCTAACTATGTCCGCAAGGATATTTGCCAATTAAGTATGTATGTGTGCACTCATATATTGCGGAATTTGCATGTGCTGTTGCCTGGCAGCTTGTTTTTTGCAACTGCAATTGCTCCGTTAAACGCCACACGACGTGGCGCGAACTCCGGTTTGCCAGTCGTCTGCTCATATTTCATATTTGGCCGTGGCGTGTGGACTATCAAATCTTTCACTTAGTGACTTTTTAGTTTTTAAAATTCGTTTGTGCAACACCTGCGAAGTGGTGATTCGAATAATTTTGCATAAATACCAGTACTCGTCTTGTAAATATTTTGAAAACATTATTGTTCTCCAGATGGCGGAAGATTGAAATAAAGTGGAATTATGGTAGGATCAAATGTTATAAGCACTAACTATTTCACAGAAAGAGCCTTGATATAAGTTAAAAAATTTATAAGAATTTAGAATATTTATTTGTGTTACTCCTCTGAATTTGTAGTGGCTTTAAGAAGTCATAAGGTGCACTTTTTGGATGGCTCCAATACATCTCAACATCATATAATTTATTTATTTTAAGCTTTGCTCTATAAGTAAGTCGAAAGGATCGAGAACCAAATACCGTATCTGATTCAAAGGAAGAGATTTGAATGCGTTTTTAATCGTTTTCGAGTTTTTCGGTTTAGATACAGGAACGACAATATTTTATGTGTCTATTCGAGACTTAGTACGGAGTACTTTGAATCTATGCTGAGTGCTGAATATCGAGCTCTGAGACCTCATTTTTTGATATTTTAGGAAACGAGTTTCTAGTATTTTTTCGCATCGATACCGGCAGTGCTAATAATTAATTTATTCATTAGGAATATAAAATATTGAGAAAATATATAATAATATAAATTGCCATTTTTTCCTTCCTCGCAATACTCATCCCCTACTCATTATCCGTCAAATTGCTGCTTGCGGTACAAGCAATTAATTGCATTATCCTTTGGCCTCTTTCATTCCAATTAACTTCTTTATACAATTGTACAATATATGGGTGTGTGTGTGTTAGCGACAAGGGTATTGTTGAGCCATCTGCCCATCTGCTGCCGACTGTTGGCGTCATCATTGCTGCTGTCGTTGCTTTGTTGCTCTTTAGCTGTTGTCGACATCAAAAGGATGCCACCCAAAAGGGTATCACATTGCAACTTTTCAAGCTGCTTTACTGTCTATTGACTTGTCTGCCTGTGTGTACGTCCATATACACACACATACACACATGTCTGTGCAGCGTAAACACAGTTGCGCAACACAACATTCACCTGTTTACTTTGGCGCTGCTGGCTTGTAGTTGTTTTTGTGTTGTTCGTGTGCTTTTTTGCTGCCTTGTGGAGGCAAGGTGCTGTCTGCTTTGGCAACACTCTGCGCGTAACAACTGCAGACGACTGCCGGCGCATTACTTAAGACCGGCTCCGGTCGGCTTGGATGCAACTCGTTGCCAACACCTTTTGGAGCCCGCCGCCAACCAGTTGTGACTGCATTCGCCAGCTTTTCGGGGCTTCGCAGCTTGGCAAGGCTTTCGATTTCGTTCGTCTGCCACTTGCCGGTGCTACGTGCAGGCAGCTTGCAAATTTGCGATTCGGTGTTTTAAAGTAGAATTTCCTGAATCTCGGGCAAGTTTGTGCCGTTTTGTGCTGGCTGCTTGCCACGTTTGTCCAACGCCAACAATGCAACAACAGAATGAGCATTAGAATTTTGGCAGGACGGCCAGGGAAATGGGCAAGTGAACAATGAACAACAAAAACGAAATAACAACAGAGTAGCAAAAGGGTCAAGTAATGACTGCAAATGTAAATTTCTCAACTGACTAACGGTCGTCGGTGTAGGGCTGGCGTGACGCACCGCCAATCAACTCCGCCAACGGCAGCGCAATGGTGGAAATTTAGTAAATCTATAAAACTAACTGGTCGTTGAAAAAACGAGCTCAGTCGTGAAAGGTACTTGGGAAAAGCGTGTCCGTCTGTCCGCGTTAACAAATACGAAACAAGTGAGTTAGTGTGGAAGAGGAAGAGGAAGAAGGAGAATGACGATAATGCGTAGCGAATAAATGCATTTCAAACAATGCTAGCAAAACGATTGACCGATTGAGCACATTTCGGCGACTGTAACAAAATTGAAAACCCATTAAAAGAGAGAGAATCGAAAACTGCCTGTGAGCAACGCAAATGGAAAATCTGTAAATGAGAAACTTAGAGTTGTTGTGTTATTGTGTAGTTGTTGACGCCAACCGGTCTCGTGTTAAGCCCGACTTGGGTGCGTGCAGTCGCCAATCGCAGCGCGATTTGAGCTTTGTAGTGCTCAACGGTCAGCAGTAAGTGTAAACAAATATGTACTCGTATGTAATTGCATGTTTGCATGAACAGCTGTGACACAATAAAGTGCAGTTATTGCCAAGTTGAAAATATGTAAATGCTTTGCCAAGGCAGCCGAGACAACTTGTGCTTGGCTGAATGCATCGAGAACTGCAAATGTGCCGGCCTTTGGCACTTGGTGTGCGTAATGCCTTCGAAATGCGTTACTTGGCCGCGCAAAAATTTTAAAAATTGCAACAAAACACACAAATGAATTGAAATGAAATGAACACGACGGAAGTGAAAAATAAAATAAAATTAAGTAGATTAAGTGATTTTGAGAGTACTAAAAAAATATAAAACATATAAGAACATTAACATAATAACTATATGCACTATTTATAAAATAAAAATTAATTTTATATTATTTATTTTTAAATAATTGAAGAACATGCAGAAAACATCTGATATTTATTGGATCATTTGTGTCCGAGTAATCACTCAAGTAAATTTGAAAATTATAATTGTGAAAAAAACCTTTTAAAGATAAACTGATAAGCTAATTGAACTATGCGGCCGCCCTTTAGAAGACTGTAACTCAAAAATCTATATTATTTTCGTTTAAAATTTTAGTATTTTATTTTAAAATTTATATTTAAATTTTAACCTCTCGAAATATAAAAAATTACGCTTTTTTTGTTAAATTTTACTGTAGGTATGCAAATCAAATAGGAAAATTGCCAAAAATTTTGATGAAGTAAAGTTGAATTGAAAACAATGGAATTTTTAACCAAAATCAAACGGTCTCCATAATAAGCAATATATTTTAGTGACTTAATAAATATTAATATATTTATACCCTTCACAAATACTAAGTTTCCTTACAAGAACTATATTCCGATCGTTCAATTTGTATGGGAGCTATATGATATATTGAGCTGTTCCGTATTCAAAGAATACATTGTTGTTGTAAATAATAAGTCATGTAAATTTCGTGAAGATATTTACCTCGTCAAATTAAAAAGTTTCCCATACAAGTACTTGATCCCGATTGTTCAGTTTGTATGGCTTTCCGACAAATGAGCAGCTTCTTAGTGAGAAAAGGACAGGTGCAAAATTTCAGATCGATAGCTTAAAAACTGAGGGACTAGTTTGTATATAGAGACAGACGGACATAGCTAGATAAACTCAGCTCATCATGCTGATAATTTTTGTATATATTTTATAGGGTCTCTGACGTTTCTGTTCAGAGTATAATAATATCAGTTATGAAGATATGCCATTAAGATATTCATAAGTCAGATTCACAGAATTATGTGTGTGTGTGCGAAATAGCGTGTCAGTTTTCTTGTGGTTGTGAAATGTGCGCACCGAAAGCTCGTACGCGCATCTGTCAACAACATCGCGTGATAACTGATAGATGCAGCATGCCAAATGTTCGAAAAATATGCTACGTATAAATATAAGTATGTATGTATGTATGTGAATTCACAACATTTATCTGGTAATCTATATTTATCCACTTGTCACTCGTTAAAAACACTTTCTAGTTCAAACGTTTAAATGAATTAGTCAAAATATTTGGTTTACATATGCGCGATACATAAAAAAAGTATAATAGCAACAAAAAGAACAATCCAAACCGCGTTCGGCGCACTTTTCTAATGGCAATGGCACGTTGTGGCACATCAGGCCACCATGAAATCAGTGGCGGCAACGTCATTTGGCAAGCATTGCCAAATTTGTTAAATAAATGTGTGTGTGTGTGTGTACATGTGCTTACATTTGTGGGCAGTGAATTTAATAAAATAATCGGAATGGATAATTAAAACAATATATTATATTTATTTATTAACAAGGTGTTGAAAATTTAGCAGTGTATAAACACAAGTTCTAATTGAATCTAAAATCTGCTAACTAGCCTTTTGATTTAGGCTTTCGATTTTATAATTCATTCTGTCAAGACCCATTTTTGCTTTTGGTTTTTGCTTTTTTTTGTAAAGCGGGCACGTGGTTATTTTGCTATGTACTCGCATTATAATCTAAATAACCGTTAACAATTCATATTATATACATATGTATATATTCACATACTTATAAAAATAACGAAAGTGTTCAAAAAAAGTTTAAAAAAGAAATAATGTAGCCTCTGGTGTGACTGAATGAGAACCTGCCAATAAGTTGATAGGCTTTACATACATACATACATAGATAGGTATATACATAGGTGCACACGTGGGTGGTTAAGTGCATTACGCTGCGATTTTATTTTGTGCAAATGAGCTGGCAACTGGATCGTGAATGAAACCCCAATATGGGGTCCGTCTTGGTCTGATGTTGTTTTGTAAATAAGTATATATACTTACAGACATACGTGCATTCATACATCATTTAACATTACGCATATACATAAATTGATATTTGCAATAAAATCTAAAAATATTTATGTGTAAACGAAAAAATATGAATGAATTTCTGCTTTTGCAGAATAACCTGTTCGCGTTTATTAAATAAGGAGCGGAGAGAATAAAAGAGAGAGCAATAGTTTGTGCGAGTTAATAAATATTAATTATTTTAATATTTATAAATATGTTTTTAATAAAAGTTGCTAAAGTTGATTGAATTTTATGTCAAATCTCGGTCATTTGGAGACAATTATCTCGAGGCGTTTATGCTTTGAAATGGGTTAAAATCTGTCTGTCATCTAATCGATTTTTGATATAATCGGTCAGCTATTTATACATATGAAAGAAGTGATTATAGTATTTCAAAGATCCAATATATACTAAATCGTGATCAAATTTTACCCGGACTGTTCTGTGACTGAACTGCGCGTGGAAATCGAATCGATAAAAATAAATTTCCTTGATTGTGGATCAATAAGTGTGTTTGGTAGTTGTTTGTTTATTACTTTTACCATGGAAAAAAAATTAAACAACGAGTTTACATTGAAAAAGTCCAAACAAACAGTGCTTGAAAATCGTTGTGTTGGCATTAGAGTGATAGCAAAGGATCTCAAGATCTCTTATGGATAGACTCAACACATTTTGATTAATTGTTGGGTACTAAGCGTGTCAAGAAAGCAACGTTCTTCTCCATTTTTAAGCCTTTTTATGTTTTCTGATAAATGAAAGCTTTTACAGTAAAACTACATTCAGAGGTTTACCATTTTCTAATAAGGAGGACTGCTGTTCGATTTTGTACGTAGGTCCATAGGCGAATCGATACTAGTTACCACATAGTGGTATTATAATGGTTCTCGGTTTCGAGTATCTGATAATTTAGGCGTGATTCATTATTATATACTCTTTTCTTGATAGTACGACGTAGAGAAGTTTGTATGTTGATTTTATCCCTCTCACGAAAATACGAGTATAGCTGTATTATCGGATGCTACTTAGATGCGAGGTTTCAGTAGTATTACGAGAAGTTTTCCTGCAGTACTGTTATACATGAATAACCCGTCATAAAAATAACACTTATATGTGTGAGTACAAAGATGTACTTGCACTTTCCAAAGCGATGGTGCCTGCTGTGTCGTTTAGGCACAGAGAGCTGCAGCATTCATTTTATGAATGAACTCGTTGCTCTCTTGCATCTCTTGTTGAATGAAATTGGCTAAGTTGTTTTTTATTATTATTACAGCTATAGCTTTTGTTGCTGTTATTGCCGCCTTCAACATTGCTCACCGACATGTGCGTTCATGTTTCATCTTGTCAGACACTTTTAGCTAAACTACTTTGTCTTTTGTGGCAATGAGTTCATGTTGTCAGTAAGCACGCCGTGGTTGATATTTTGTTGCAGTCGTTGCTTGCATTTTATTTTGACTCCACCGCTTTATGCTGAACGTGACGCAGTGGTGCCCACAATCGCCGTGTTCCTCTTCATCCTTGAGTTTCGTTGTTGCGCCTTTGTGATGGCAAGCGAGCACTTTTTATTTCCACACACTTACATACTTACATACATATGTTTGAATGGGTGTTCTTTCGTTAATGTGTTTCTATGTGTTTATAGCCGTGTCTCGCTTGCCCCTCTTCATGCATGTGATGTTATTGTTGTTGTTATCGTATTATTTACCTTCACATGCTTTTTGCTTGCTTAATAAAACAACAACCGCTATAAAAATATTTTTAATGTGGGGTGCTCTTAATTTTGTAGGTTAAATGAATTTGCTTTATGGATGTGAAACAATAAAAAGCACCGCTTTGATAGCAGCATGTGTAATAACTACAACAACATATCCACGAATATATATGTATATATATGGAAGTGTGTACGCGTACATGTATGCAATTACATTGCGAAAACTGTTGGTAAGACTTAGGTGATTTGGTTTTATGTAAAACATGTTTCTTTTTCAAGTTTGTTTGGGGTGCAAAATATTTGCGTATATATGTTAGTACAGCCGTTAAAGTTATAAAAGCTAAACATTTCATTTTACACAATGTCTAAACCACTAGCCTTGTTGTTGCTTCTTTGAATTGTTTCCACATTTGAGGGGTCTTATTAAGAGGCACATCTAAAAAAAAATTATAAAATTATAAAAACAAATCAATTTTCTTCACATGTCGATAGGTTGTACAATACCTTAAAAATTACATACTAAAATTTTTAATAGATATGTCAAACAGTTTTCTATTTCAGCTTTGCAAAGTATAGCCGCTCAATTCAATCGGCTCTATCAGTTTGTCTTTAAACGGGGTTTTTTCAAGCAACATTTTTCAAATATGTTTGAGTGATTGCTCCTAGAAATATGATCCGATCACTATCAAATTGTTTCTTCATCTTCACCATACAATCACTTACTAAATTTTAGATCTGATCAAAAATCGATTTAACTTTCTTTTAAAACGCGTCATTTGGTAAATTTTTGATTATAGAAAATACCATCTCGTAGAGAATTTTTTTAGGTTTCTTTGTCTTTTATCAACGTCGAACAACGCGTGTAACTCGAAAAATTTTGGATATTTTTTCTTCAAAAACTTGTTTTCTTAAAATGTCTATAAATATGCTTTTAATA